ATTTAGTTACAATTTAAGCTAAGGTGCTCTTCCAATTCATCATATTCTCATTCTACTATGATATATAATGTTTTTGGTTTCATTCATGGTGGATTATAGTTTTGACATACTTGAATTATTTGTGGATATAATTTTGGAATGTATAATATGGTCAGCAAGGGCAATTTTCTGTTAATATAAAGTAGTACGGATTTCTTTGTTACAAGTAGAAACGTTTCTAGTTATTAATAGAATGATTTCCTCTATTAGTAGTAGTAGGTGAATATTACACCTTGCTAATTAAACATAAATTATTGTTCGAATAATATATATTCCAATCGTGTAATCAGGCATTCAGGCTTATGAAGTAACATAGAGGCAATATAGCCAACCTTACCGACACTATTACTACTTGTAGACATTGTAGTCATATCCAATATTCTAATACTAAGGGTCTGTTCTGATTTACTGACTGAGCTGAATTAAACTGAACTGAACTAAACTGTTTTTAAATGAGAGAAAGAAATTAGGAACTGAACTGATTGGAGCTGAACTAAACTGAAAATAAGCTGAAGAGATCGGACCCTAATTAGGTCTATGTAAGGTCATTTCGCCACACCTCATCTTTTACGACATATTTAATTGGCAACAGATTTTGAAATAATTTAAGTTTTAGTATATTACTCCGTAGCTAATAATATTAGTGTGTGGCAAAGTAGAGATGGATGATACTATTTAAGTTTTGAAGTAGTGTTTTACAAAAGCTAATTGGAGTAGTGGTTGTTGAAACTACATACATTACCTTAGCTTGTATATTACTATTTCAATATATCTATATATACGAAGTATATTGTTAGTATATGATGAACACATTCACCATACATCTATGTTAACAACTATCTCTAAAAATTACCATGAGTAGTTGACATATAACATCTACTCACACAGCTAGCTTCATGGGTACTATTTACTACAATAGCTAGTATTTTGAATACTCTGCCTTAAACTACTTTTTATGTTCGTAGTTAACAATGATTATCTAATCTTTTTGTCAATTTTAATCCACCAAGGTAGTAATAACCAAGTAATATAACAAAGCAAATTAAACATATGTCTTTTAAAATAGTGGTGTTATCATAATATCATCTACTTTTGTAATTTTGAATCTATCATTCTCGAGTAAAATAAAATCGTGTACTCACGTCATATACTTAATCTAATTATGTAAAGTTAAGACAATGTGACAACTAATTCTAGTCGAAAAGAAGTGTTTTCTACAATATATTTAGCACTCGAAACGTGTATATATATATCATATCAATAAGTAATTTCATACAAAAGAGCTAGCTTAGCTTGATTAGTCCATATCATCTTGGAATGAAATACTAATCAGCATAGCTTAGCTTGGATATTAAGTACGTAATCTTCCAAAAATCATGGTACTAGCTAGTAGCTATATACAAAACAATGCTATTGGAACAGAAGTAAACCTCTGAACAAAGCTCCTATCACAAATTATTTTATTACTACATCATCGATTTCCATATACATGGCTCTTGGGTGACTTGATTTCCACAATGTAATAGTGGATTACCAAAGATATTAATATAATAATACGTTGTATAAGTACATGGAGTCACTAAGTTTGATAAGATTAAGACCCTAGTGTATTAATTAAGCAAATTCGACCGCCTTTGCTTATATTATATATAATCTCTAATTCATGATTATCTTATACTAATTTTTAATTGGTTATTAACAAGAAGTCAAAAATGGGACGTAGCTTTCAAACAATAAAGAAAGTGGAATTAAAACCATGAAATAAAAATAATTATTTTAGCAAAGCTATAAAAATCTACTTGGCTAGCTACCCTTATTAATTACTCATAGTATATAAAATAACATAAATGCATGGATGCTTACATGTAATACACCACAGTGTAAAACAAGAACCACCTATATATATGCTAATGATGATAATTAGTATTTGTTTAATTATTAATAGATGATTATATAATTAGTGTTACCATTTTGTTAATCTTGATGACACATTCTTGACCACACAATTAGAATTTTGTTAATTTTGTTACTTGTATACTTTTCGTTAGTTGGTGGACAAATTTTGTTGTGTTGGCATGATGCCTATTTTGGGGGTGAGGGTTAGATTCTACAACCGTGTAGATGCTTATTGGCTGGCTACAAAAAGCCAAATTAGAGGACCTAAATAATTAATTAGAAGACCTAAACAATATATATTAATGCTTGAAATTAAGCTTTGGGCGGCAGCCATATTAGGTTTGAACTAGACCTCCTAGATATTTAAGGGGTAGATTAAGCTTAATGCAAGACCAATCTAAGGGGTGTATTAAGCTGTTTTCAATAACTGGCCTTTATGTTGAGCCAGGTAATATTTGATGGCAGATGATATGCTAGCTAGCTATACGCCGGCCAAGAGCACATAACATGATATGGTGGTTCTGTTGGATCGGAGCGTTCAGCACTACGCATAAGTTGTACACTTGTGTCACGTGAGGCCAATGTGTGTCCCTTGTGGTGCACACCCATGTCGGGCCGGGTCACACGTTGACCTCACGTGTGCTTAAATTATTTGTTTTGTTCTCTTTACTATGTTTGAGAAATTTAATACTGTATATTTTAGTTGACAATTACACTCTAACATTCAATAAAATCAAAAGGTCAAAATAGTCTATCTTAGACTTGATTGATAGAGAATATTCATTGATTATTCTCCTCATAGATATAGAAAATAATATTATATTTGTGTAAATAATAGTATTTTTTTTGTCTGTCCAAAACATTAAAATTGTTATACATTATAACCTTTATAAATATTGATTTGTTGAATATACTTCAATTCAAGAGTTTTACCCAATCTCACATTATTCCAAGTAAACAAAACACAACCTTAGCCGCGCGTACACGGCTAACTAGAATGATTCATGCATGTGGAACTTAATTTTGGTGTTATGTCGGTAAATAAATTGTTGCTTATTGGCGAGATCTTCCAATTAGTATAATCGAGAAAATACAATGTACAAGTACTAGTAGTTGAAATATAAAATTTATTAATTATTTATTTTATATTTGACTATATAAAATTTCGAACTTTATACTAGATGTTATCAAATTAGATGAAATGAAAACAATCTCAACTAATTTAACTACTTATATTTGTTAATTTGCTGTTAAAATAACGTGTTTCATCTTTATTCTCATTGTAATTTGAAATTTATGTGCCACATACTGCCATACATGACCATCTATTAAACAAATTTACCAAGTACATTGTAATTTCATATATTTTAGTTAATGCAATATCTAATTTAGCTCTAATATATGTTCAATTAGTTTGTTTTTCCATGCAATTTAATCTTTTTTTTTTCTTTTTTTTATACCTCACTTAACCGTGATTTTTTTGATTTATTAGAAATTAAAAATATTCTTCTATTTTTTCAAAAAAATAGATATTCTTCTATGTTTTAGAAAGATCGATCTTACCATTGAAATTTTACGAGTACAATTCTTTAATACATCTATCCGATCTATGTGTCTATTTCTACAAGCAAAATTGATTTTTACAAGGCGTAGTAACGAATGATTTCATATATTTTTTAGATCCAACGAAGATACGAAGTACATTACTAAATGAAACATCTGCAATTTGATGAGTGTGGGTGTATCAGACCTGCATCTGATGTACTACGTATAAAAGATTTGATGCTTAATTATATTAATCCACTCTATCTTAAGAAAATATTCCTTTCTAATTTTAAAATAAAATACCCTTAATATTATGTCAGCATGTACATGTACTTGTTAATATATAATTCATTTTTTAGTGATCTTTATATAATTTCCCTAACTGATTATTGATAAATGTAATACTCCATAGTCCATACTAAGTAAACACAAGATATGTTGATCGACATCAACTACATTTCTTGAGAAATTATCATGTACGATCTGGCTTTTAACTATAATACTTCCTTCGTTTTTAAATATATAAAAATCTCTTCTTCTTTTTTTTTTTCTACGTACGATGCCACGATATTTGAAAAAAAAGGAACAAAGGATATTGTTGTTAAAAATCGTATGGTTTTAAAAGTGAGAATTTAGATCGAGAGGTTTTGCTGATAAGATTAAATTAATTTAGGGAGGTTCTAATACTTTGTTTTTAAATTGGATGATGATCCTCAATTCTTCACCCTGATGAAAAGCAAGACTTTTAAGAATGTTACTTATAGACAATAATATAGTGACAAATGAGACTTTTAGTTAGAGACAGATGAGCGAGGTAAATATAATTTTAAAGGGTATTCGGATCATATATAATATTTAGATAATTAATGCAAAAATATATCAAAAACAGATCTACTATAAAATAATAAAATACCAAAATAAAAATGACAACTCCACGCCTTGAATTTTGAGTTGGGAAATGATACAAGGATGAGAATCTTAAGATAGAAGAAAAATTAGGACCTAAGATTAAGAAACAATAACAGCTAATAAGGGTGAAAATACATAATAAAATAACCAAAAAATTAAGATGAAGAAAAAAATCAATGATTTATACTCTAATTAACAATATTATTCAAATCCTAATTACTTGGTCGTAAATGATTCAAGTGTAATACGCTTAATTCCTTCTTAATTGCCAAAACGTACGACCCCCATGAGTCTTCTTTATACAATGAAATTCAAAGGAAGTTGCTTTCATGAGTGTGACCTATAAAATTTTGTAAACCAGAAGCAGTCAAATATATAATATAATTAATCATGCACAAACTTTATATTATAATTTTATAATATGGTTTCATACTTTTACCCTCCTCATGCACTACTACTTACCAACGACCCTTTTTTTTAACTAAATCTCAAACACAAAATGCCATTAACTCCACCATTAAAAACTAGATATCTTAAACTAATGATTTGACTTGCGCATAATTAGGTTGCTTAAAACTTTTAACACTTATATAAAATGCCCTCACCACAACTAGGAATAAACACACCAATTATCTCTAACTCTTCATCTACTTGTTAAAACTTAACAATAATACATACATTAAACTTTTATCTTAAAAACAAAGAATATGTCAATAAAAATTCATCCCCATCAACTCGCGGCACCATTAGCAACTCCGGTTTCGGATCTATCAACCTCGCAACCGGATGATCTATCGCTCTCCTCTTCGGGAGAAGGAGAGATCTTCACCATTTGGATGAAATCGCTCATTCTTGGAGGTAAAGGTTGTACCGTTTTCGACTCGAATGGTGAAGTTGTATATAGGGTTGATAATTATTCTTCTAAAGGTTGTAATCAAGTCTTCCTCATGGATTCTCAAGGCCGTGTTCTCCTTACAATCCTAAGAAAGGTAAATAAAAGAACAAAACAAATGTTATTTCGGTAAAAATAAAAAAAAGGGTATTTTAGTAATTTCATATATGATATCGCTAGTTTACTAATATTGTTTTTGTGTGTGATGCAGAAATTTAGACTATTGGCACGTTGGGAAGGATATAAGAATGAGAAAACAAAGGGAGAATCATGGTGGTTTCAAGTGAGAAAGAGTTGGAAAATTCCTAAAATGCCCTTGGGAAATGAGGTGGTGGTGAATTTGTATCATGATAAAAAATCACCCGCATTCAAGATTGAGAAGAGCAAAAACGACTTAACATCATGCAAAATTGTAAATAGATTGGGAGGTCTCATTGCTGAGGTAAGACTTAACATCAATATAATTTTTCATACATTCATCTAATTTAATTATTTCATCATAAAATTAAATTTCGTTACATATTATATTATACAATCATCTTATATTTTGTTGTTAATATTATGCAGATGAAAAGAAAACAATCAACGGGAGGTGTAGTTTTGGGAAGCGATGTATTGACACTAGTGATCGAGCCTAATATCGACCATTCTCTAATTATGGGATTAATGGTTGCATATAATCTAATTCACTGTAGAATGTGAAGACTTTTTTTTCTCTTTTGTACTTAAGGATAAAAGCATAGATCGAGTACCCAATGTTTTTTTTGGGGTTTTGGGATTATGATCCGATTGTAGATATTCTCTCTCTCTCTCTTTTTTTTTTCTTTTCTTTTTTTCTATCTTGGACAGTTGTTTACAACTCGATGCTGTCAAAAAAGATACTGAGATGTAAATGGCATGGTTTTTATCCGACTTCCATGATTTGCATAATTGCATATGACTATTGTTCATGTACGTTATATTATCATGTATATACACTCCTAATTTTGGTTTCAATCAATGTTTGTTGTCTCTTTGAATTTCCGTTTTTGTTTTCGTTTCCATTGGCCGTTTTTGTTTTTGTTTTTGTGCAACGAGCAATGATTTCAAGAAACACGGCTTCATGATGGGATCATTCTTTTTCTTCTTGCATACTAGATTGTTGATGATCTAGCAATAACATTGCTTTACGTTACAAGTTGAAAAATTACAAACAATAATAGATATAAATTAAAGATTATCATTATAAATATATTATCATCTAAAAGTTTACATCAATTTCTCCTATGATAACATTACTACCTTGCCAAGAATTTGAATAATCCTAACAAAAAGAATGAAAATTTTTCAACGTACAAATTTGATTATCCTTATTCTTTGAAGTACATGCTCATTACTTTAGATTTATTTGTTTGTTTAATTTGGGATAAGGATGCGTGGGTTCAATACTTCAATCGTATTGTAATTGGGTCCACAAAAAAGAATGTCTCAAAGGCCAAAGAGAGATTATTATTCTCATTCCTTAGTACTATTAAAGCTAATGAGGTATTTGCTTTTTACACTATGTTTATAGTAATGCTGATATGGTAGCTTTGGATATAATAAAACCTAAACAAAAGAAAGTTAGTTTTGATTTGTTTGTATATTAGTTGTAGTTTAGTTTTAGGTCATTAGATGGCCTTGGCTTTTGAAGATATGTTTGCCCCTTTTGAAGGCTACAAGAAGGTCTCTTCGGTTAGTTGTACGGTCAGGGATTTTGTGCCATGACCCAAAAAAGAAATTTTAAAGCCGTAATTCTTATCCTGACTATTCTGTTTTACTCTTACCACATGACATTGATAAGGTAGCTTGTCATTTGTCATTGAATGACCATGACTTGCCAAAGGTAGGCTCAATTTGAAATAGTTTTTTTGCCTTTAGTAAATACCAAGTATAAGGGGGTAGAAGACTTACTTCTATATAACAATAATTAACAAGTCTATATTGCAATTAGCAAGTGAAGTTATGGCTCAAATACCAATTAGTGCAATATAAATATACAATTGGAAAAATATGTGTACGTATTATATTACCCGGAGTATTAATCTTACAGCCCAAATGCCCAATTGATAACACAATTTTTTCTCATGTCTCCTTCTTTTCCAACACTACAATCTACCATTGCAAGTGGCTAAATATGGTGTTACCACTCCTTGAAAATTACATGTCCAACTTGTCACGGACATAATTAATTTCCCTCCTAATCCCATGACAAGTTTCAAGTGATAAGGAAAAAAATACTATTTGTTCTAATAACTTGTCCCTCTAAAGCTACTCTCTATTACATTTCATTAGTAAGGATAATATTGGCTCGAAATTATAGTCTATATTATTTTGAATATTTTCTACCCGATTATCAACCGGACTATTATATGTTCAAAGTAACACCCTCTTTCCGCTTTGGTAATTATTGAAGTTATAAATTAAAAAGATTTCAACAAATATACACCAAATCTATGTTTTTTTTTTTTTAATTATTATTATGCATAAAATTCTTATATTGGTTATTGTATGAATAGTGCAATTGTTAAACCGGTGTAAAGAGTATACAAAATAAACGGAGTAAAGTGGGCTCTTTAAGAACAGCTGGCCCAAACATACAGAACCTAAAGCCCAATCTTACGTGGCAAATTATCCATTTTTTTCTTTTCATATTTCCAGAATCTGCAATTTTTATCAATTTTCTCCATTTTCATTATTTTTATTTCTTCACTCCGTCGAATCCGAAATTCCGGCCCCGGAAAATTCAATTATTCCGACGAATTTCGAATTTATTCTCATTAATATTTCAATTTAATCAAAACAAATCAAAATTTATGCAAAAAAGAAAAAACAAAAAAAAAAAACAAAATAGTAAAAAAAAAAGTGAATAAATGTGGTATAGATCTCCTTCCTTCATCCTTGATAACCAAGCACAAGAAAAATTATTACTTCAACAACAAAACGACGACGTTTTGAATCCACCACCACCTCCTTCAATGTCGGAAACTTCCGTCCTAAACCCTAACCCTAATATTTCGGCGTATTATCAAACAAGGGCGGCTCATCATGCGGTTGTTACGAGCGATTGGTTGGCGCAAGCTCAGGCAGCCGTTGCCGGCGGAGTTTCCGGCGAGGTTACGGCGGCGGAGGTGGAGGATGGTTGTGGGGTTGAGAAGGGGGGAAGTGTGATTGAGGAGTTTAATAGTTGGCGAAAACAGCCTGATTTGGCTGAGGCTGTTGCGGCAATTAGGGCTTTGGCTTCTGTGATTAGGTCGAGTAATGCTACTACTATGATGGAACTTGAGATTGAGCTTAAGAAAGCTTCTGATTCTCTTAAGGTAATTTTTTTCATTTGGTTTTGTCATTTTTTTTTTTATTTAATTTTTTTTTTTTTGGAATTTTGAGCTGAATTTAGTGTTGTAAGTAATTTATTTGGGTTTAAGAAATTTGGGGTTGAATTCTCTTTGATGATCATCATGTACTCCCTGCCTTTTTGTTCAATTGATAGTTTTGGATTCATGGGTGATTTTGTTGATTAATAAAGGGATGCCTTTCAACATTTACTTACTATTTAAGTTCTGAGTAATGAGAGATAGGGAATGCAGGGCGAAGCGAATTATATGTTTCAAATGATTGTATTAGCTTTAGAATTTGTTGAGGAATGGGGACCCTGTTAATGGATGTTTTTGATTTATTGTGACTTGTATAATTGACAATTTAAGTTGGTTCTGCTACATGTTGTGTGAAACATTGTATTTTCGCGGTTATTTGAACATGAAGTGAATGTAGGCTTATGTACAGGTTTTGTATCTAGCATCAGTGCATTACATAGTACTATGTTGGAACAACTTGATTTTCTTATAAAATTGATCAAATGCAGATGTTTGAAGTGATTGCTTGTTTTCTGTTTTATGTGATGTGGAGTTGCTTGAGAACCTTGTAATGGCTTAAATAGTACCTAATGGATACTATTGTTGAGCTAGGTGTAGCCTTGTTTGTTTTAGTTGTTACTTTCCGGTGCCTTGTTAACTGAAATAGGATTTGAGTTTGCCACCCCCTTCTCCATGTCTTCTAATTCAATCCATTTGCCATCATAATCTTTCAGTCATGGGATGCAACGTCCATCTCCTTAACTGCTGCTTGTGATCTGTTTATGCGATATGTAACCAGAACTTCTGCCTTAGAGTATGAAGACTTTAATTCCGCTAGGTCTCGCTTAATCGAGCGTGCAGAGAAGTTTGGGGAGATATCTTACAAGGTGAGTATAGCTGTCAATGAATTAAAGAATATTTTAAGGTCATGAGGTGGAGAAACTAGAACAATACAATTGAGTTCATTGTTGCAGGCACGTAGAATCATCTCAATGCTTAGCCAAGATTTCATATTTGATGGATGCACCATATTGGTTCACGGTTTCTCTCGAGTTGTCTTCGAGGTGTTGAAGACAGCAGCGCAAAATAAAAAGTCCTTTCGTGTTTTTTGCACAGGTTTTCTTCTTATCATGTTACTGTCCTTTAGATTTAACTTTTCGTTGCCTTGAGCAGGATCTACTCTCTGTTCTCAAACAAGTGCACAAGCTGAACTGCTGAAGTGTAAATAATGGCCAAACAAACTTATATAAGTTGAATTTTGAATTATAGGGTTGTTATGACTCAAGTCTTTGAACAATTTCTTCATCCAATAACAGAGCCAAATGTGAATTAGTTCTCAATTGCCTTGTGGCTATTCAAATTTTTGTGTTTATAAGTTGCACCTTTGTTGAAATTTTTTTGACCCCGCATCAGTTATGGTATTGTAGAACTGTTTCAGATCCTCATGCCAATGTGTGCTAATACTAATGTGTGGCAATTTTATGCGAAGTGTTATTTAGGTTTTTCATTTTTCTGCCTAACTTAAAGAATAAGATTTGTCCACCTCTGATAGCTAAATCTGTCATATATTACTCATGAGTTCACGCTAGTGGCAGTAATTTAGAGAGGCTTCAGTATTAATTTTAATTCTGACCTGAGGTTAGAGTACTTGGGAGTGTTGGGATGTATGAATGTGCAAATTGTCAGTGGAAAATTTCTAAGGAATATGTTTTCTAGGATTTATTTGTTCTGTGGTCTCCGTTTTGATTATATTGGGAACTTATATGAAGGGGTTTATACCAAAGTAACTTCTTCTCTTACTAAAAGTAGATTCTATGTACTTTGTTTATATATGTGTACATATTATTGCATTTTTTGTTAGTGGCCTTCCTTTGTTTGCTTAATTTTGCTTTCTTTTGTTTATATTTTTTAACTTCCATTGTGTTAAAATTACAGAGGGAAGGCCCGACAGGACTGGATTACGTTTTTCAAATGAAATGGCCAAGCTTGATGTTCCGGTGAAACTCCTAATTGACTCAGCAGTTGCATATTCTATGGATGAGGTTGATATGGTTTTTGTTGGGGCCGATGGAGTGGTTGAAAGTGGTGGCATAATTAACATGATGGGAACCTATCAGATTGCATTGGTTGCTCACAGCTTGAACAAACCAGTTTATGTTGCTGCTGAAAGTTATAAGGTATGTTTCTCTCAACATCTCTGTAACTTGTGCTCTGACGGTGTTTAGGCAAGGGGTGTAAGAATTATGAGATGTTCTTCTGTATGTGTTAATCACAGTTTAACTCTTTAAAAGTGCCTGACTTACTAGTAGTATCTTAAATAAATAAGCAAATCTTTTCTATGTTAGCCTATTACAAAGTACTTCATAGTTCATATATACTGAGCTTTTAAATATGAGTATAGCTGTATGACAAGGTAATGGGATATTTGCCTATTCGGAGTACCATTATTGATCGAGTAATTTAGGCTAAAAATCACGGTCAAAAGGTCTGTATGGGTTTGGATAAACATTTTCTATGATTATTTTTTTAAAAAAAAAGAGGTATCGATTTTCTTTTTTATGTTTTTTGATGTATGATTTTTTTTTTTTTTTTTTTTTTTTTTTTTGGCTTCCAACTGTCTTGTTCCTGCCTTTGCAGTTTGCCCGTCTCTATCCTCTGGATCAAAAAGACATGGCTCCTGCCCTCCGCCCTATTGACTTTGGTGTGCCTGTTCCATCAAAGGTTGAGATCGAAAAATCTGCCCGTGACTATACACCTCCGCAATATCTGACTCTTCTATTTACAGATCTTGGTGTTTTGACACCATCTGTAGTCAGCGATGAGCTTATTCAGCTTTACCTGTAGTTGTGCCTAGATTGGATTTTGATTGATGGGCTACCAATGTATCAGCGACGTATTACTCTTATTGTAATGATAAAATCCCACATAGGGGTTTGAGTTTTGAAATTTTTGGTTGAAATTTTTTGGTCATCAATGATATTGTTGTTATATATTACAAACATTGTTACTGCTCTCATTAATCATCAAAAAACAATGTCAACATTTGTGTATGAAACATTCATGAGTTGTGAGTCGTGACTATGTATCCTCTGGGGATCAAAAGTATTAATCACCTTCCGCAATAATTAGAAGCAGTCTAAATTTTCAATTTTGGTCATTGGGGCAAGTTTTACTTCACAGTTTTGTATACTAAAATTTCTTGTTAGAGTTGGTGGGTGTGCAATGGAAGCGAAAATGTGTTTGATTGAGAAGTATATATAAATTGAATTGAGAACTGACAAGATAATTAATATAAATGAATACACGATTGTATGTGGCGGAGAATTACAAAGAGGGTTTATGTATTTGTGTGTTTCTCTTTTTGTGTATTTGACTTCTTGTTTTTGTATATGCCAAACTCTTATCTAGCCTCTTTTCCTTGAGCTAACCAACATTACTTGAGTAATGTGTATTATTCTAGAAGATTATGCATGAGCGAGGGCTGTTGGCCTGTTGTGACCTTTAACCTGTTGTTCCTAGTCCCAGATTAGGCCGGCCTGTTCAAGTTTGGACATAAATTGAGGCAAATCAATAATTCTATTTTTGATACTCCGTATTAATTTTCAAAACATGACATAAATTATACCAAAGAAATAAAGTTTTAAAGGTAAATATTACTACCTGTCAAAAAAAAAAAAAAAATAAAGAAAGAAAGAAAGAAAGAATTACTTCATAGTATTAAAATCAACAAGTACTCTTGATGTAAATGTAAAATTTACCAAGTTAAAACAAATCCAAACACACAAATATTGTTAAATAGTGAGAATTGTCCCGCAGTCACGATATCACGAACTAACTGAGATCCTAAGCATAACTATGATCTATCCTTGTTTATTGTAAAGGAGTTTCTGTCTTAGCTCCGCCACATCAACTTCGTCGAAGTGGTTCTCCGGCATCCAGAATCCAGTCATAGGATCTTTCATCCAAAATACTTCTCTTAATTGTTTGTTTTTCATTGGAAAATTAATTTCATTTACTTTCTCACTTACATCGGATGCCTTGTTATTCAATACAGGACCATTACTAGCTATATTATATATATGTATGTGAGTATGTCTACTGCATAATTAACACACGAACACAAAAATTATTATGGGTATGTTTTGTTTGTGGCTAGCCACTCAGTGTGGCCACATCAGTTTATAAGAGTAATCTTTATTTATATGTATGAGTAACCTCAACTTTTCATAAGAGTAACCAATGGAGTTGTTGAATGGGTTGCCAGTGGGTTAGAGGCGGATTGGTTTGTGGGTTTGTTTGTTAGGGTGTTTTTGGTGGGTGAGAAGGGTTTTGGGTAGTTTCGCGTTGATTCAAAGGGAATTGGATGGTTAAAAGGTGGTATAGGAGGCTGCTGGTAGGTTTGAGGGTGGTATTTGGAGCTGCTGGTGGGTTTGGGGTGGTGTCGGGGGTTGCGGCAAGGTTTGGGGTGGTTTTGGGGTTATTTCAAGAAAAGTGGGCGGTTCAAGTGGTTGGGAGCCGTTCAAGTGGCTAACAAGTTATCGGTTTTTTGTTGTATTTTGAGTAGATTTATCTCAAAGGTCATTTTATTTTGGAATAAACAAAAGGTCATTTTATATTTAGAAGACCGCTGAAAAGTCATTTTATTCTTGACAATTTTTCCTACTTTTTAATTAATGATAATAATTTAACTTCGTTTTTTTTTTTTTTTTTTTTTTTTTTTTTTTTTTTTTTTTTTGGGTAGTGTAAGCAAAATACATAATTAGCTAATTTGTTCTTTAATAATATATCATGTTTTATTTCAATAAATATGTAATAAGAAGGGAATTAATAAATTTTGTTATATTTCACAATTTTTTAAGACAAATTTTCACAATTAAAAGTGTAAAATTGATAATAATACTAAGAATTAAATTAAAATTAAAATTAAAATTAAAATTAAAATCTCTTAATATAACTAAGATTTTAAACAATTTAATAAAATATGAATCTTATTTATTAAACTTAAATTTAAATAAAAAAATATGCATAATTTACATATCGTATTAGGGCTTGTTCTCATTTACTAATTGAATTAAACTGAACTGACCTGAAATGAATATTTTATGAGAGAAGGAAATTAGGAGGTGAACTGAATTAAACTGAATTGAATTGAATTGAACTGAACTGAACGGATTGGAGCTGAACTGAACTAAACTAAACTGAAATTAAGCTGAAGTGACTAGGCCCTTATTGTCAATTTTTTTTGGAGATTTTATCGCACCCTTATTTTAGAGAATTCAGATTCAGCAAAAAATTAAAAATTATTTTGTAAATAATTATAATATGAATTTTTTTTATGAAAAATATTTATTTCATAAATTACTAAATCTTACGAAGTATTACTAAATTATTTTATTGTTTGAAATAAATGAGATAATTTTTTTCACCTATAAAAAAAAGTGTTTTTTTTCAAATTAATTATTTTTTCAAAAAAAAGCGTTTAAATTATTCAAAGTAATTTAGACAACCAAATTAATTTGAAAAAGTGATATATCCTTATATCTATTCCACATTGTATTAACTTTTATTATTAATTTTGAACCTTTGTATAAAATTTATTAGTTATTATTTCTATAATTAAATGCATTAAGGATATAAATTTATTAGATAAGGGTTCTAACTTTTTTACAAGAGTCTCACTTTTTTATCTAAGGTTAACAGTGAGTTAAACTAAGGTTAACTCACTGGAATTTCTAACCCAGACCCCAAAAACAAAGTAAAAAAACAAAAAACCTAGACGCCAAAAATAAGTTTCTCATTTTAATACATAACTAGTGTGTAGCCTGAGCGATGCCCCATATTGCTAGTCTGTACTTGTTTAATTTGCTAATCAAATTCAACTGTTTAGATAGTAAGACTTGTTGGTTTTGAGTTTAAGTCTTGCTATAAACATTTTTTAATTATCAAACTTAATCATTACATAATGACAACAAATAGTATAATAAAACACAAATTAACTTATCTAAGTTAACTATAATTTTGTTGGATAAAAAAACACAATTAATAAATTAAGATTTGTTGGTCTTGAGTTCAAGTCAAGGCTGTGAATTTTAGTATAATATTGACAATTATGCTTTATGAAAAGAAATTAAAGCATGTATAATCATGATTATTATGTTTTCAACTTTTCAAGTACAAAGTTGCCTAGAAGTGCAATTTTTATTTGATTCCTCACATTTTGCTCATTTCCTCTTATTCTTCTTAATCTGCTAAGATGAAATTTCCCATACTCTGTTAAATCAAAGTACAACTAACTATGATCTATCCTTGTTTATTGTAAAGGAGTTTCCGTCTTAGCTCCGCCACATCAACTTCGTCGAAATGGTTCTCCGGCATCCAGAATCCAGTCGTAGGATCTTTCATCCAAAATACTTCTCTTAACTGTTTGTTTGTCATCGGAAAATTATTTCCAGTTACTTTCTGATCACTTGCATCAGATGCCTTGTTCTTCAAGGCAGGACCATTACTTGCTATAATCCTTATACCATCGCTTGCAGCTGATGCATATGTCCGTCTACTGCATAATTAACACACAAACACAAAAATTATTATACGTAATTAACAAAGGTAGTAGCTCGATTTATACCTAATTTATTAATTTGACCTAATCCAATCTGATAGGACTAAAACGGATTATTTTCCAAAATAAATCAATTCAGCTTTGATAAACCATCTAAAAACTACGCCACACAAATTTAATTTAATTTATTTTTTTATATTTTGAAACAAAATTTAATTTAATTAATTGACTATAGTACATACCCATATCATATATGATGATTCGGAAATAATCTTGAGGGGTCAATTTTAATTTAATTGACTTGGCCGCTAAGTTACCATGAGGAATATATATTAATGTTCAATCTCTATTTATTTTTTTCATCTAAACATTATGATATTACCAATAAAACCAATCGTAGTGACATTATCATAATCATAATTCAAATTACATTGTCTATATAATGAGATGAGAGTACATAAAATAACATACAATCGTGAGTAATACTCACCTGAAAAAGAAAAAGTTGTTCCGCATGATGACTGAAAGCCAACCCATCATATTTGGTTGAACTTTGACGACGCGAGGAAGAGAGGATGATCGATTAAACAAATTCTAGAGTTTTACGTGTGTAAAGTTGATGTTCAAAGGGTTTGAGGTACACATATTTATTAAAATCTTAATACAAGTATTTGTTCTTTTTGGAAACCTTGTTTGTAACAAGTTAACATCTACTTATTCCCCACAAGGACTACAACAACAACTTGTCAATGTTTCTGCTTTTCAACAAAATTAAATTTGATACACCTAGGTTTTTTTTTTTTTTTTTTTTTTTTTTTTTTTTTTTTTTTTAAATGTAAATTAGACTTGATCGGATTGGATAAAATTAAGTATTCGTTAATTGTTGGTGAAAACACTTGTTGTCCCAAAAACAGATGCCAAATGCAACCCCATATGCGGATATACCCTTTTTTGTACTCAAGTCAAATTAGCGATGAAAGGTATATATATGATTAATGATATCCACGAACAGTTGTAGAAATTTTAGAGTATAACGTAAGAAGCCTCATAAAATATTCTAGGATATTCTATATTGTATCTTGTCACACAATCCCTAGATTTAGATTAGTGGTTCTCCTTACCACAAATAAAACAACAACTTCACTTCACTTCAGATTTTAAAAACGTACTGATTTTAAATTAATATGCTATAGCTCATTGTGGAATAATAATTGGATATTTCATTTTTCTTACTAGAAGAGTTATTTTTAAAAATAAAATCATAGTCGTTAGATTAAGGTAAAGTAGTCCAGTAACTTTATAAGTTAGTTCTCAAATAAAGAAAAAGTAAACAATTTAAGGAATTTTTGTAGCATTTTTGTAGGTTGCTTGGTGACTGAACCAGAACCAAAAGCCCAATGGGCAATGGAGCATTTACCCATGGTCCCATGTACAAGTCCATGACAATACAGTTACTACAATATATTCATGGGCCTCTAGCTTCTTTATTATATTGCCTTAGTATTTAATGATAATTAACTAATTATCTCTTGTAACCAATGTTATTAAGGTTTATACCTTTCATACTACCTCTGTTTTTTAGTTGATATTATTTAACTTTTATTATTATTCACAAAGTTTACTTTGACTAATTTTTGTGAGTTATAACTATGGTAAAACATACAAGTAGTCGAGTGGAATCTTGTTTAAATCGTTTCAGTGTCTATTTAATTAATATCCAATTTTTATAATTTTACAATGTCGAGAATCAGAGATATTAATCATTAAAATAATAAGTTGGCATGTGTGACCAAAAATACGGAGTATAAACTAAATAAAAATTGAGGTAGTAATACTTTATAATTGAATTATTATTATTTTAAAAAAAAAAAATTGACAATAAGATCTGTGCAAGACATAACGAATAGCTCGATCGAAATCATCACAAAGAAAAACTCAAAAACATCATCATCACCAATTTACACATTTACACTAGAGTACCTAGACCAATAATTGCTAAATGTACTTTGCATAACTCAAAAAAATATACAGTATATATATGTGGCTCATAATTTTTTCCAGGTGGGTAAAAAAGTATCTTATCCAACAGTAGCACTTCTATACTGTTGTAAATAATACTCCGTAATGTTTAACTCATTCACAATCCTTATTTTGATGAAAGAAAAAAAAACACTCACTAGTTGACACACAAAATTATTATTGCGTTAGATAATATTCCTATTATTTCATATGGAGTAAAGGGTAAAGGTCTTTTTTTCTTCAACTTAATTTCAATTCAGTTCATTTTCTAATTTTCTTCTCTCATAAACAATTCAGTTTAGCTCAATTCAGTTCAGTTCAATTCACCTCTAATTAATCTGTTTCAATTCAGTTCACCTCGTTTTAGTAAGTCAGAACATCCCTTAAATGATGATAATCCATGAATGAAAAGTGAGAAAGGGCAAGTGAGATGGCCCGGTGAGATTGAAAAGTGAGGAGCTAAGGTTTGAAAAAAGTAGTGATTGAAGAAGAAGAAAAAAAAAAGGAAACATCATCATCATTATATGAGCAAAAGTCACGTTAACCATGTGTGCTATTAATTGAAACTTCCAATTTCCTTTGCTCGTGTGGGACGCAGGAAAAGGACATACATCGATATAGACCCAAATACGATTTTTGAAAACTTGAAAGAGTAACTGCTAATTTAATCCGTTTATTTTCATTAGATTAGTAATAAACGTCTTTTTAAAGACTAATAAACACATCGATAATGAACCACAATTTTTTTTGTCTGTTGTTTTTTATATAGAAAAATTGTAACTTAAAGGCAAAACAGTGATGGAAGCTCCTTCAAATCAGATACGTCTAAAAGCAAGTGGAAACCTAAACCACGTCTATAAGGAAATTTTTGAACATTAATATACAATCAACTACATCATTCTCACTTATATAAAATGATCGATAGCATTTACCAATTTATTATGTCTTTTTGCTCTATTAAACACATGATAAATATCATGAAGTACTATCATATATATTCCTTACTCCGTAATAAATTGTTCTTTAAATTAGTATGATTGCTTTAAACTTTTGAGACAAAATTGATAACTTATTCACTTCAAACCATTGACAACTTGGATAGCTTTATGGTTTGTATAAATAAATAAAAATGGTTAATTTGGGCCTGTTCCGATTGACTGAACTCAGCTGAACTGAACTGAACTGAACTGAACCGAGCTGAACTGAACCGAGCTGAACTGAACCGAACTGAACTGAACTGAACCGAGCTGAACTGAACTGAACTGAACTTATTAATTAGTGATTTTTAACTACGGATTAGTGATCTTTGATTATTTATTGATTATTTATTGATATTTATTACTATACATATGTGTATATACAAATGTACATATTAAAATATTTACGAAAAATATACTATATAATTATAAAATGTATGGAAAATATATTATAAAATGTATGGAAAATATATTAAAAACTTGAAACCTCTAATTTTCTCAATGAGATTAACATTAGAAATATGTTTCAAAAAAATAGAACCATTTGAACAATGAATTGTATAAATATTATTATTGTTATTATTATTATTATTATTAATTATTGATAATTATTATTATTATTTATTGGTTATTACTATTAGTATTATTATAGTATTATTATTATTGTTATTATTATTATTATTATTATTTATTGATGATTATTATTATTTATTGATTATTATTGTTAGTATTATTGTTATTATTATTATTATTGTTATTATTATTATTATTATTATTATTATTATTTTTATATACTATTTATTATTATTATTTTTGCTGTTATTGTCGTTGTAATAAGATCTTAAGAGAATGAAATTTGGCTTTATATCATTAGCAATATCATTAGACATAAATTAAGAGCCGAGCTGAACTGAACTGAGCTGAACTGAGCTGAACTGAACTGAACTGAATTTCAACGGAACAGAATAGGCCCTTAGAGTACTAAAACTGTAAAACATCAACATTGGCAGATACGAGTAGTACCTATAAATAAACAAAAGAACAATATAGTACAGGTTTTACTTTTGTAGTTTTGTCACTCCAAAAAAGAGCAAACGCGGTAACTTTTTACACTTCCCAATTTTCAACAGTACGAGTAGAATATTTAACACACAGTTTAACACGTGGGTCGGTACTCGGTAGAAGAAAAAAGGCACATTTTTTTAACTTGAAACAAGTTTATAAAATATCCAGTAAAATACTACATGTGTTACAGATTATGTGCAACAATTTGATATAAAACATAGAGGAAAAATGTCTAATCGTTACACATAATCTGTAACGGAGGTAGTAGTCTACTTTTTAGTTGCTTTTTAATCTTTACATATTGTTTTGGCAAAATTGGCCTTAACACTTTGAACTTTGACTTGGGTGCACTCAGCACCCTGAACCAAGCGACATAGCCAAAACACCCTGAAGTATTAGGTTGAGTGCACTTAGCACCATAAATGAAAATTTCCAGCCAAAATTGGTCGGATTCCGGTGAATTTTTTTTTAATATATATTTTTTTTATTTTCTTGCACTGTGGTATTTATTATTATTACGGGTCAATAAGTAAAAATAAGAAGAAATATAATTGAAAATTAGTAAAAATAATTTAAGTTAAGTAAAAATAATTTCACTTTAATAAAAATAATTTCATTTCAAAAAATAAGGTGAAATAAAGAAGATTTTAAAGTAGAGCGAGTATAAATACAAACATTACGAGTATTTATTGTACGAAGTATATAAAAAAAAATCCAATTTTTTCCTTAGCCAATACCTTTCACAAATAATTAGCCAGCTCAGTTACACAGGGCTAATGCTTTTTTTTTTTTTGAAACAAATCAATTCATTAATAAAAAGGCATCCGACATCTACAAATGAAATCCAAATTAACAAATACATAAAATTGAATCAAATTAGGTTTTCCTTCATCAGAGCTACGATCGTTGAAAAGATCTTGCACTGTGGTACATCTCTCGCAAACATCGCTGGAATATACAGCCTTTTCGGAGAGACGGTCTAACGATTTGTTGTAGCCGTAAGGATGATTCTCATCTGATTCGCCTGAACGCATTTGAAAATTCGACAACCGTTGTGATCCCGAACAAATCTTTACCAAAGAACTGACAATAGGGAAAAAGATAATTACTTTTTTGATGAACCCTAACACACAAACAAACCCTAAACAAAAACAAACAACTAAACTGACGAAAACTAACGACTCCACCATAGGGAGACGGACACGGGGCTAATGCTTGAGTGCGGAATATAACATCTCTCAAAAAAAAATAGTAAAAATAAAAAATAATAGCAATAAAAAATAAAAATAAAAAATAAAAAAATTGAATCTACCATATTTTGTTTGTTTGTTTATATATCCATCATTCATTTCATTTCCCCAATTCATTCCAACTTTCAATTTCTAACACCTCACCCTTTATCCCTTTCTCTCTCTTACTCCATACTTAAGTGTCACTCCCTAATTAAAGAGAATCCTACAACAAACAACCCCAAGAAAAAGAAAAAAACAGAGAAATCTGAATAATAATAAACCCCTCCAAAAAAAATAAAAATAAAAATGGTTTTATCATTAGTAGGAAGTATAAAAGGTGGAGAAATTTCATCAGCAGCAGGTTTAAGAATTGTAATACTTCAAATTTCAGAGGTTGAATGCTCTAATATTGTGGTTAAATCTGGGTTAAAATCCTTAACAAGAACTTCCATCAAATCAATATCATCAAACAATAGTTCTTCTTCGGTGATTATTGATTGTTTTCTCAAATCATGCCATTTATGCAAGAAGCCTCTTTGCCCTGATAAAGATGTTTACATGTACAGGTAATTTTACTTACAAACATACATTTTTTTTTTTGTTAGTGAGTAGTTTATGTGGAATAGTCGTATATTGACTTTGTCGTAAATTATTACATGCACCTGAGATCACGATCGAGTACCTAGAATGGTGCTCTTACCGGCTCGTGTTTGGTTTTGATATCATAATGTATAGTGAAATAATTTTGGAACAATTATTAATTAATTCTAGATATTTTTCATGTAATTTAGCTAGGAATGATTTAGATAATTAAGTTTGATTTTTAAAAATTGGGTTTTGATTATTTTTAGTTAAGTCCATTAAATATTTGTACTAATCCAATTAATAAAGTTGTTTACTGGCTAGTGGTGGTTATTGTCACATCACATGGATTAAAGATGTCATAAATGATGCTTATCCATAAAGTATCAAAAATATCCTAAAAAAATCATATGAAATTAGGTTAGGTTGGTTTAGACTTTCTACTTCAAGCTTCAACCATAAAAACTAGAGTGATTCAACCATAAAAACTAATGTAATAAATCTTAGCTTCATCGTATCGGATTCTACAAAAGCCCACGCCAAACAATAAGATGCACTTCACATGAAATCAATTGGTAATATATCGAGTAGTACACTAAGGGCCTATTCTCATTGATTGAGCTGAACTGAACTGAATTGAAATAAATATTTTATAAGAGAAGGAAATTAGGAGCTGAACTGAGCTGAGCTGAAAATAAACGTATAAGAAGAGGACCTAAAATCAATCGGTGATATATCAAGTAGTGCTCTAAGTTATACGGAGTATGTTACACAATTAATTTCTAACTCACACGTTGATAAACTTAATAACTTATCTAGCAATAGCAACAAGAATACTTACTTATTTTGACATATGAATCATGCCCATAGAAGTCCACTTCATATAAACAGTGTGAAGTGTCAACATGATCTATAATAAAATAATTTCCTATAGCCCATTGGACCACATGATACCAAATAATTGAAACCAATGCAAATTTGACTCATTATTTTAATAGTAAATCATACCAAGTACTACGTATTATATTTGTTATTGTACTACATTTCAACAAAATTCACTAACCTACCACCCAACTTAATGAACAGCAACTAATCAACTGGCAATTGCAGGGATTTAATGAGATAAAACACTAATGAAATTTTGCTTTAATTAGAATAATGTTTAATTTCCTCCAAAAAAAACAATTTTAATAATGAAGAAATACAATTTCACGGAGACAAAAATGTAGTTTTTGTGATGAAAATTGGTAAAACCGCTACTTGAAGTAGTGGTTATTCAAAAACCAATATTTCAAGTAGCGGTTATAAGGCAAGTAGCGGTTTTGGGCCGGGATAAACCATTGAGGTAGCGATTTTACTTCATGATAAACGAAATTTGTTTATCACGTAGATTAATTGGGGCAGTCTTTCTAATAATTCATGTATATGTTGTACGCGCCAACACGGTACACTAAAGCTACTTTATTGCAAGTTTGCTAATATATTTAATTATATATGTATGCAGGGGTGACCAAGGATTCTGTAGCATAGAATGTAGGAACAGGCAAATAATGGTGGATGAGATGAAAGAAATGGAAGTCAAGACCAAGAAGAGGCTTGCTACTTCTACTGCTACTTCCATAGATTGTGCTGGATGTGAGACTTGTAAGCTATTAGAGGACCTTCGACGACGTCGACAACACCGTAACAATAAGCTTAAACCCTTGATCCCTCCTACAAAACTACAACAACCTTTACTCTCTTTTTCATAGTTTGTATGGTATGAACCATATGATATATTGTTCAGTTGATCATATATAAATATATACTACATGCGTAGTACTTAGGGATATTTTGGTGTAGAAATTTGGTATGGTATTAGTTAGCTAAGAGCACTTTACTAAATGGCCTGGTCGGAAATTCCAAGTCAGATCATTTAGCAAATGTAGCCACCACTTTTGGAATCAATTTATTTTATTTTTAAAGCTAATTCTTCAATTCAATCCCGTAATCGAGAGCTAATTTTTCAATTCCTCTGAATTAACACTCAACTTAATTAATCACCCAAATAATTATACTCCCTCCGTCTCAAAAAGAACGATCCATTTGGCCAAAATTTTGTCCCAAAAAGAATGACCCATTTGCATTAAAACACCACCAATTTGCAACAATATTTGTGCAAAATTAGCTTCCCCATATAAAAATTAGATTTTCCATGTTATTTTATTACTTTCTCTCTCTATTTTTTTACAAACCCCATGTAAATTTATCTTTCCAATATACTTTTACTTCTATTTACTTAACTTCTTTAATACCCGTGTAATCAAGCCAAATGGGTCGTTCTTTTTGGGACGGAGGGTGTACAATACAATGTATGTGAGCATTTTTTTTAATACAAAATCACTGGAAATAGTCTTTCTGGAAAACTAATCGCCTTGTTCTTTTGAGGTGTTCTGCTCTACTTTATTGAGCCTTGCTCTACTCTACAATGTTGGAAGCTGTTGCTCTACTCTACTGAAATATCCCGTATCCTGCTGAAATTTGCTCTGCCTAGAAGCTCAAAAGAACATGACTCGAGATCACTTTATGACCCATCTCAAATCAATCTAATACAAAATTGAAATTATGAAAATACACATTTTTACTTTATTAAATAGGAAGTTGAGTAGACATGGAAATAATTAATTTATAGAAAAATTAATACGGGGTAGTGAAAATAAGCCGTTAGATAGTAATATAGGAATTGTGGAAAAAAGTTAAGTAATGTTGTTATGTACAATTAAGATCTGGACATGCTAATGAACTTGGGCTTTTGTCTCTAACAATTGTGTTTATATTTTTTAATTTTTTTTTGAATAGAACAATTGTGTTTATATAATACCCTTAAACATGCACAATAACACATCGTCTTCTAATTTCATACAATATGATATTATTTATATCATTATTAGACATTTTTTGAAAATTTTAAAACAACTACTAATTGAATAGCTAATATTGACTACAAGGTAGTTTTGTTCTATGTCTAATTGACCATGAAGCTCTTAAAATGTAGGCCCTGTTTGGTAATTAGCTGGTAGCTGATTATATTAGCTGGTTATAATAACTGGTTTGACTAGCTGGTTACAGTAGCTGGATTGACTAGCTGGTTATGATTAGCTGATTGTATAAAAATGTTTGGTAAATAGCTGTTAATTGTTAGCTGTTTAGTGTATTTAAGAAACAAAAAGCTAATTGTACAATAAGCTAATTTTAAAAAGCTCTTATAATGTGATTTTTCTAAAAGAGCTTTTTGAGCCCAAAAAGCTCTTTTAATAAGCTACATACCAAACACCCAAATTAGCTTTTTTAATTGGTCAAACATCTAATTGGACAAAATAAGCTAAAAGCTGTTTAAAAAGCTTTTTACCAAACACACCCGTATTCATACAATTTTTATGGCAAATAGACTTCAATAAATTGAAAATGGACATATTTAATGCTATCAAGGGCATTTTAGTCATTTAACCAACAAAATTTCAAATCATTGTAAAGAAATGAAGTTGCATCACTTTGCTCACTTGATCCTCTCTTAAAAACGTTTATCTTCCTAATAACACAAAATTAGCCAAATTCAGATATCATAATATTGAAGAAGCTACTCACAAAACCTTAAAAACCATGAAACATTAATAACGTACGAATTAACAAGTCCAAACAACTTCTCCAAGTCATCAATCAATTGCGTTGGGTTTGATGCCAAAAAAAAAGGGAAAAAAAAAAAAAGAAAGATCAGACGAATCAATGAAATTCCAACAAATTCTACTCCACACCAACACTGGATCTTAGAAATTTAATTAATTTGGTCAAAAACTTTCATAAAAAAAATCAAATCAAAAATACCCAAAATTAAAAAAAGATAAAAAAAAAATTAAAGATGCTACATACAATAATACAACAACAATCTAGATTTCTATCGATTAAACTTTTTAATCTATCAATCAAAATCAATTTCAATTCTCAAGTGGGTTTTCTTAATCGGGTTCGGGTATCAAAAGCAACTCTCAAAAAATCGTAATACTTCAAAATCCCCCTTCTTCAATTCACAATTCATTATCCCTAAATCTCAATTTTTTTTCTCTTTCTCTCTCCTCAAATCTCCCAATTTTTTCTCTTTCTTCAGCACCGCCGTGTTTGCCGCCGGCTTTTAATCGCCGGCAACCGTTCTCCGGCTTTTGTTTTGTTGTTTTTTCGCTTTCATTGGTTCTCAAACTTGCGATTTTTGCAAACCCTAGTTTTGATTGAATTGTGGAATTTCCCCAATTTGATCAGTTATTTTGGGTTGGATCAAGTTGGGAATTTCTGGGTTTTGGTTTTTTTCAGCTGGGTAATGGAGGAATTGAGCGTTTTTGCGGGAAATTTACAAAGGCTACGAATTTATTGGGGAAGAAGGGTTTTGTGAAGTTGCTGTAATTTTGGTGAAAAAGAAGTTAATTTCTTTCTTTTTTTTTTTTTTTTTGTTCCGGGCTTAATAATTGTATAAAAATAAGAATATGATGTTGCATACTAGTAGCAATGGTAATATTCAAGGAAGTTTTAAGCAAAGTTGTAGTATATTAGCAGTTTTATGTGATAGTAGTAAACTTAAAGAGTGGGAAACTGAGGATCGGCAGCGGTACCCTTTTCCTGAGCTTGAATCTTTTAGCCGTTTAGAGGTATTTTGTGAATTCATACTTTTTTTGCGTAGTTGCTTAAATTGTGTTTTTGTGGGGAGAAAGAGTGATTTCTTGTAAAATTTGCAGGTTAGGACACTGAGAAATCCGAGCTTGGATGAGTTTGGGAGGACCCTTGAATCGTCAAAGCCGAATGTCGTATATTTACAGGGGCAGGTGTTGCCAAATGATGAAATTGGGAGTTTAGTATGGGATGGTGTTGATATGTCTGATGCTGAAGTGATATCTGAGGTGTTTAATCATGTGTTGCCTACCACGGTATGTGCATTTGGCACGATTTTGTAGTGTATTTGTGGTGTTCTTATGTAATTGCAATGCTTTTTTTAAGAAATTGTACTGAAATTTTGTGATGGTAATAACTGTGTTATGAAGAGGATGAAGATAGATGTATCAATCAGTTATGCTAAGACTCATATAGGGAACTTATTGATTAGGGCAGTAATGCCTGTCCTGTCTTAGGAGTCTTGTAAGTAATTGAAAGGCATCGATTCATTTTATTGTCTATGTGCTATGCAGCAGGCAGTTATGTAATGTTGAGTGTGTTATGCTAGTGCCAAGAAGTAGAGGGTTTGTTCGAATGGGAAGCTGAGTGAGAAATTGAGAATTACCCTTCATGTTGAAATGAACCTTCTGCTTTAGATAATATACAGAAGCAAGTTCTGTAAAGGTTCTAGTTTTGGAAGCAGTGTCTCTCTGGCCATTGGGAAAAGTTGATATGCGTTTAGACTTTCACAGGACTTGTCGAAGCTTACGTTCTTGTTGTTGTTTATTTGCTTATTCTTCTCTATGGTTGTAGCTTATAAGTGATATCAACTCCAGGGCTTGTATTCTGACATTATATTTAAAAATGTACCTTGGTTTTTAAAACATGGAAGTATTATCACTGCAGAGAATTTGATATTGAGTATTGTAATTTTGTAGGTTTATTTGGAGATTCCTAATGGTGAAAAATTGGCCAATGCTATTCATTCTAAGGTGAGTAAAAGCCTAAAATTGTCTTTTCATTATTGTTGTGTCAAAAGTGGCTACCCATATCATATGCCGCTTAAAATTTTATTTATCAGGTCGACTAAGACTTGTTATCCCTCCTTTTGGCAGGGGGTCCCTTATGTCATGTTTTGGCGGAATGCATTTTCTTGTTATGCTGCTGCTCACTTTCGGCATGCATTCTTTTCAGCTGTACAGAGGTATTGGTTTCTCTTGAAACAATGTTTTTCTTGTTACATAACCTTATATTCTATGCAGAATAATTGTATTGTGAGACAAGGGAGCTGTTTCAGCCTTTACTAACTTGTTTAGAGCCATTACATTTTGTTTTTTAATTTTATTTTGTTTTTTAATTTTATTTTGTTTTTATTGGAGTTTTGATTACTTGTCCATTTTTGAAATCTTATCCCTTAGATTTGCTTTCCTTTTAGGGCGGCAATAATTGATCTTTATCTATTGTTAGATTGTCCTTTGATTTTAATCTTGTTATTCAATCTTCATGTAAACATATTAGTTCCTCAGATATTGCAGTGTTGGCAAAAGACACCTTATAATTTTTAGATCAAGTGAATAGGATCCTGTGAATCTGACATGAGTTAAGAATTTGGCATGCTTGGTTAGTAATTTGAATTTGACATTGCTTGAACTTTCTTGCAACTCTCAAAAAACTTTGGCATGATAAAAATGCATTTAAGTAGTTAGGTTGTCTTTAATACTAAAGTCTGTCTCAAACTTATTGTGGCCAAAATTTGCATGAGAAAGAGCTATTTCGAAGACAGAGGTTTCACTGATGACAGTATGCTTTATCTCTGTTCTGGGAGAATATTCAAACAAAAGATTTTTTTTTTCCCCTTCAATATATAATCATCAGTAAAACCTAGAGAACTCCTAATTTCCCAAGGAGCTTCAGGGGGAGCAATTTATTTCAGGCTGGAGGTGAATAAGCTTTAGAATACCTCAATATGGGATCAGTTAATATCAGTATATGGCATGTGTACTGTGTTACTGATCAAATGCATGGAGAAAAACCTGATTGTGTGGTATTCATTGCTTATGCATGTTGATATGTTTAGGAACTATAATTTAACTCTTTTTCGATGCAGTACGCCCTGCCATACCTGGGATGCTTTCCAACTGGCTCATGCATCATTTAGTCTTTATTGTATTCGGAACAATGCAGTGGTTCCCCGGAACAGCCAAATGGCTGGTTGTAATCTGGGGGGGCCATCTCTTCTTGGGGAGGCTCCCATTGTTGAAGTTGCTTTGCCAGAGGCTGACGATGGTGATGAAGAAGATG